ATTAACTGTCGTCCTGCCCTTTGGAAACTGCTTCCAAATTTGGCTAGAGTTTCATTCTGCTTTGAGGATGGGAGAGGTTGAGTAGGCAGGCAGACAAAAGACAAGAGATCAGTTTTGCTTAATATCTGATTTTCCTGCTAGGTACTTTGGCTTTCACCCCCTTTGATGAAAAAACACAAGCAGTTGGTGTCTTGCTGGAAGAGAGATCCGTGAGAAAGGAACCCACTCTATTTAACCTTTGCATATTCAAATACAGTTGTGCTTAGGTTTCAGTGCCATTAATAGGGCTGAATGAATGATTGCCTTTTTTCTCTCTCCTTCCCTACTCTTTACCGTGCAACGAGATTGCTTTAAAAAAGTTTCAATGTGGGTTCTCACCGCACCCATCTGCCCCACTTCTCCCTATCATCTTCTGTGTTTTATTTTGCAAAGGCGTTTATAGAATTTCTCTGCTCCATGCTGCACCTTATCTGTTCAGGAGGTCTTGAGCGGGGCCATTATGTCACTCGGCTGTGGAGGAAAAAGCTATTCTTTGGTGACAATGGAGGCCCTGCCCAAAATAAAATAAAAGTGAAGGGTGGGACAAACTCAGAAAGGGTTGAGACAGAGATAAAATGTTGTGGCCTTAGAAGACAAAACACAGCACACACAGAGATGCATGTGGGCACATACACACCCAGAGAGAGAGAGCCAATTACGCCTGACTGAAAGGGTACCCTGGCTTTAAAACATCCAGGGGTATCTTCGGCAGCTGCTGCAAACAAAAGCTGTATTCTGAAGAACGTCATCCCAGCACACACGAGTTTTCTGAACCTTAACAACATTTCAGCTTCATCTGTCTCTGTGTGCTGGCATGATTTGTTTTTCGTTTCAGTTTTTGCTTGGTTGCTTTGGAGTCTGTGACGGAATTCAGAAGCTGCACCACTATCATTTTGGGGGGTAAAGCAGCAGAATCAGATTGTTGGAGCACTGGGGAGGGCCTGGCATCCTTGAGGATTTGAACTGTGCCACAGGAGTCCACACCTGTCCTACCGTTTTGCAAGGTATATCTTTAGTTTTCAGATTATGAGACACTGATATACAAAGAAGGATCAAACATTTAGTGGGATAGACATAGTGAAATTGATCAGTGAAATGAAACAGACAGGATGGGGAGATGAATATCTACGTCTCATTACGCAGATCCCCTGTCTTGATAAGATTTGGGTTGTACTTTAAAATCTGTAGCGTCTGTATGTTTGAGTCATGTCGTATTGGAGACCTGCTCATCTAGACTTGTGCAATTGGCTTTCTTTTCTTTATGTGTGCCCCGAGGTAGCTTGGTGGGGCTGTATAACCTGCTGCATCCCACTAGGAATTAACTGGGACAATTCGCAAATGAACAAATCTAAAAACCTAATTTAGAGCAGGTGGGGAGGGGATCCTGTGTTTTGTTTGTTGCTGTTGACAAACAATTGGAAGTGAACAACTACTGCAGGTCTACTACAAATAATTCACATACCTACCATCTGCTCACTTCATGCCCTACTCCGTTGTCAGCCTTCCTATAAAGGAGCTGTGATCAAGAAGCCCAAACTCTGGGGCTCAGGGTCATGTGCTTTTACCTCTGTCACCTTGACTATAACTCCTGTGGAAACAGTTCTGCGTCACAGTGCACAGCGCCTCTCCCTCCAGACAAAGGATAGCTCCCTTATCTGCTGAGTCCCTTGCTGTTTGTTACCTTAGCTACACAAACTAGCTTACAGCGTCTCCTGGAACAAAGGGGTTTTTGTTTTGTTTTTTTAGCTGTGGCCTTCTAGGATGCTAGGCGCCTGCTCAAAACTTTTTGCTATGATGACGAGTTGGCATCCAGTTTCCAAGCACACAGGTCAGTGTTAGCTCAACCCATGGCCTCTTCAGGCCTTCCGTCCTTGGGGAAAGAGAAGGCAATGATGCTAAAATTGAACGTCTTTTCGAATCCGTAGAGCCAGTGCGATGGCAGGCACAGATTGCAAAGCATTTTGACACACGGATTGAAGCACGTCAAAAAAAAATGCAGATACCATCTGCTGGAATGTCTTCAAGGTCTGCTGAAGTGGAATCAGAGCAGCTCATACTTTTTCAGACAAGGTGGCTCAGTAGTCTAACGCATTTTAGGCCACAAATTGGTGGGAGGATCACATTTTGTAGTATTTTCATCTTTGTTCAGAACTACATTCAAGGAGAACACCCGCAGAGGAAAGAGTGGGCTGGGTTACAGCTTTCGTATGTGCTACTTTTCTCCTTGCAGGGAGGGTATTCGTGTAATCATGTGCAACATACCCATCTCTATGTAGGCCGTAGCTTTACAGTCCATTTTCCAAGGGCCACTGCATGTCACTTCAAAGCTGGTTAATAAGTAAGCAAAGTTTTTAGAAATCTACAAAGCTAAAGAAAACATGATATCTATTCTTTATCACCATCCAATTTTCTCTCGTCCTGGGTCCCTTTGAAGAAACATACACTTTTTAAATTAAGTCATATTTTGGTTAAGGCTGTTGAGTTGTTTGCCTCACTTCCAGATAAATTTGTTCAAACATTTCTAAAAGTAAAGCAACCGGCAGGATAGCTCACCTAGTTTGGCACCTGTTCACAGAGAGCCAGAGATTGGGGGTTGGATTGGCTGCTGTGTCTCCTGGGAGGAGAAGTCAGCCTGTCGAATCTTGGGCAAACTGCAGAGCACCGCTCCCCCCCAGAAGAAGTGAAGTTTGACCCACTCCTGATTAGTCTGTATCTAGAAAACTGTGAAAATGGGTGCCATAAGTCAGAACTGACTTGATGACACGTTATAATTATTAAAGGCAAAGCATGATCAGGGACATTTCTAGGACACTCAAGAGAAACAGCTTGTGAATCTATTAGTGGTGGTGCTAGAGATGGGTGAGACATTTGGTTTGATTAATTTCTTTTAACCGCTGACCAAAATCTATGAATGTCTTCATTTTAAAGATCAAACTCGAGATTTAAACTTTGTGATGTGGTGGAACAAATAGAGGACCATTGCCATACAATAAAAGTCAGACTTTTGGCTTGGGGAAAGTATGTTGTATGATCCTGTGTTTTTGTTTCTTCTGTATAGCATAGAATATTGCACTTTAACACAGACTAAATCATGCAAAGTGGCAGTTTCAGGGGAAATCATGAGAACGGACAGGAAGTTAAAGGGGTAATCATGGGGACTGACAGGAAGTTAAAGGACCCAGAACAGGAAGAGAAAGGGGGAATCTCAGCTGCAGCCATTTCAAAAGGTTTGTCGCATGCCAGAAGAAAGGGCTTCACGTGCCAGCTGTGGCACGCATGCCATAAGTTGGCCATCACTGGTCTGGTACATGAATTTTGCTAGGGTGTCAGGAGTTTTTGTTATTTTTCTCTCTCTTAATGTGTGTCCTTCCTTCCTTCCTTCCTTCCTTCCTTCCTTCTCTCGCTTGCTGTCTTGAGATAGATACTGTGAGTTGTCTCACCACCTTCTCCCAGCAGGAAGGAGTTTCTGCTCAGAAGGCAAAGACAGATCCTTTTTGCCATCAAAAACTTGGAAAGTTCAGCACCTCCTCCTAGCTAAGCTCTTTTGGTGTTTCCCTCACTCTTTGAGAGCCTTCATGGTCCATTGGTTAGAATATTAGACTGTAGACCAGGAGATCCAAGTTCAGGTCCCCACTGATCTATGAAATTCACTTGCTCCAATCTGCCACACTGGCTGGTGGTGTGAACCCGGTGTGGAGGAGGAGAGCCATCTGCATGGTCACAAGCTCAGTAGAGAAGAGGTGGGAGAGCAGTGTAACCAATAGCTAACAGGGTAGCCTGCCCGAAGAAGGCACTCTGGTGGGAATGCTAGAATGAGCATCAGTTGACCACCTCCCCTTGGAAAAACGTTTCTCAATCCAAACGTCTTCCTCTGGGTTCTGCTGTTGGAGATCTAGCTTCAGTCCCTCTGAACATATCTGATTCAAGATGTTATGCGTCTTATACATACATCTGCCCTTTTTCTCTCCTCTTTTGACAATGCTTAGTAAGCCCCCTCCCTTCTTTAGGAATTCAAACATTTCTGTAGCTTTGTGAATGTGTTCTGGTAGGTAAACTTGGTCCAAATGTCATGTGGTGTGTATATCCTTGGCAATGTTGGGTGGGATGTCCTGGCAGCTATAGTTCTAAGAAAAAAAGATATTTTCTTCTCTCTGGTGGCTTAGCTAGTGGGTAGGGCGGCCATTTGAGCATGTCTAAAAAGAGAAGAAACACATTGCCAAGAGTGGGTGCAGATTTGCTTAAAACATGCATAGGCAACTCTAAAATATGTGGAAATGCAGGAATAATATTCCCTTCTAGTCAAGGAGATAAACTTTCCAGGATTCTGAAATGCAAATAATAAATAGTATTGTTTACACTACTGTTCAGTGTTTTGAGCACTGTTTTGGAGAGATCATAATCCATATATGTATTGAATTATTGTATTTGGAATCCATTCTGATTTTAAGTGGCTCATGTCATGCAGGAAAAACATTTTGATCACTTAATGCAGAGGCTTCTCAACTACTTTGTAATTTAGTTTTAGACAGGGTGGTATCATGATTAGAGTGTTGGACTGTGATGCGGGGGGACCTGCACTGAGCCATGGATCTCAGTGGATGTTCCTCGTCCAGCTGTACTTTCTCATCCTGATATTTCTCAGCATTTTCAGCGTAAACGATACACCGGCAGCAAGGGTAGGGCAACTGTGTTAGTTTTTAGCTAGTCACCCTACCTTTTGAAAGTGTTTTTTAAATGCTTTTATACGTTTTAAACTAATTTGGTAAGATGATTTTAATATTTCCACATTTAAAGATTTTTAATGTTTCTTCGGTCTTGTTTTAATTAATATTTTTAAAATTACCTGTGAGCAGCTAAGTCCTGTCGCCAGGAGAAAGGTGGCACAGAAGTGAAGTAGGTAGACAGACAGACAAGATGGGCTCTGAAGACCTATAAATCAGATTCTTCCTTGTGTCTTTCAGGTAGAAGATGCCATGCTTATGTTTGACAAGACAACCAACAGACATAGAGGTAAGCAGGGGATGGCGCCTGGCTGTTTATTTCATACTGGATGGGTGTTTTGTGGTTAATGGAGCAATGTGCTTAGCAAACAGTGATTTACTTTCCTAGTCAAAGGATGAGGTCAATGCTTGGACATCAGAAGTCTGATGGTTATTCCCTTCCGACACAGGAAGCACCGAACTAGTGAATCTTTTTGTGAATCACACAATCAGATCTGCCATCATCACAGTATTTGGCAACTTTTGAAGTTGTAACTTTAAGTAAAGTGCATGTGGTAGGTCTTGGGTTCTTTATTCAGTCACATTGGGATTTGGGCACGCATGAAGAATTGTTTTGGTTATGTGACTCCTTAGATGTTGCCCACAGCAAAGTTTTTTCGATGTGCTTGCCTTCTCTATTTCCATCTGGTATCTCACACATGGATCACCAGCAGAAATTAGATGTTACAATATAAGCTATAAATGCTGTGGCTTATCAACGTGTGTGGCTATTGCAATCCCATCCACACCCTTATGGATCCTGTAAAACCCTTTAATTGGATCCGAATTATTTACACCAAAGAGACCCCCTATCTTACCCTATCTTCCCTATAGCTGGAAGACTTTGCAGGTTTCTCTCTCCCCCTCTTTGTTTTAGAGGCTGTCCAGAATTATTTTCCAATATGTGGCTGGGCCAGAGGAAGGTTAAGACAACATATTCTTCGCATGGAGCTCACAGGCATGTTGGGTGCCTGTGTGGCTTTCCTGCTGTTTTATCTCACAGTGGGCAGAGTACAACCTTGTGGATGTTGTTTGACTACAACTCCCAGCATTCCTCACTACTGTCTGTGCTGGCTAGAGTTAGTGAACACTGAGGACTGACATGATCTGGACAGTTTCATGTTGCCCACTTCTGATTTATCTGATTTTTTTTTCTGTTTCTCTCTGTCGGAGGCTAGTTTCACTGGACATTTGCATCCAGATTAGTTTGTCTTGACCATATATTGGCCAAATACAATGGGATTTGCTCCAAAAATGAGTGATTTTGATGTATATTTTACTGTCTGCATGACGTTCAAGGCAGATTCTATTTCTTCAGGTCTATTCCCTTGAAACTGGCATTTTTTTCTCCCTCCCCCTGTAGAGACCTGCAACTTTTTCATGACAGGAGGGTTAGAGCATGTTTTTTCACCTACGGATGTTCCTGTGAAGATGGGTGTGTGTGTCTTTAGATGGTATAAGGGACGTGGTGGCGCTGTGGGCTAAACCGCGGAAGCCTGTGCTGCAGGGTCAGAAGATCCGGCAGTCGTAAGATCGAATCCACGCAACGGAATGAGCACCCGTCGCTTGTCCCAGCTCCCGCCAACCTAGCAGTTCGAATGCATGCAAATGCGAGTAGATAAATAGGGACCACCTCGGTGGGAAGGTAAACAGCGTTCCGTGTCTAAATCACACTGGCCATGTGACCACGGAAAGATTGTCTTCGGACAAACGCTGGCTTTATGGCTTGAAGAGCGGGATGAGCGCCGCCCCCTAGAGTCGGACACGACTGGACAAAAATTGTCAAGGGGAACCTTTACCTTTACCTAAGCATGTAGGGCGGGATTTTCAGGACAGTGGCACCACATCCCCACCTTCATTCCTATTCTCCATTGTCCTTCGTTGTTTTTTTATATACCGCCCCATAGCGCTACAAGCACTCTCCGGGCGGTTTACAATTTTTTAATTATACAGGCTACACATTGCCCCCCCAGCAAGCTGGGTACTCATTTTACCGACCTCGGAAGGATGGAAGGCTGAGTCAACCTTGAGCCGGCTACCTGGGATTTGAACCCCAGGTCGTGAGCACAGTTTTAGCTGCAGTACAGCATTTTAACCACTGCGCCACGAGGCTCTTAGATGTCCTACTTGAGAAGAAAATGGTGAATAAAAAAGAAACAAGCCGGGTGAAATGAAAGTTACTAGGTCATGTGTTTTTGGAATACAGTACGGCCTCTTTTTCCTGAACCAAGCAGTTTCCCACCTCTCCTGCTCATAAAAGGATAGGAGGGCCAGGATCAGAGGAAGGAAAGAAAGAAGAGGGTGCTATGGACAGTATCGGGGCTCTCATTGCAAACAATATGAACAGTGAAATTGTGATTCGATCTGTAGCCTTTGTGGGTCCATGGCTTTAAAAGTAACAGAGACTGCCAATCAGATTGCAGCAAAGCAGAATCCTACCTATTCATCTCTCCAGCGTAGCCACACCTTCTGTTATGCATGCCAGATGTAGTCCCAGCTTCTGGCTCTTTTTTTTCCTAACAGTCTGGCCACAGAAGCTGGTTGATTTACGACAACTGGGAATCTTTGGGTCCCATGAATGGGATAATGAAGGATTTATGTCTCATCCAAGTGAGGAGTGTGAGAGGGGAAGAATCCAGATGACTTTGGAGTGTAAAGACATCTTGAATGGCTGGAGGCCATCAGGATATGCCTTTGTTTTGCTGTGGTTTACTGAAAGACAGCTGGAGTAAATGCTTTGAGGTTCACATTTCAGGCAGTGAAGCTTGAACCGGAATGGACTTTAGAGGTTGTCTTGGGAAATGTGAGTTGGGGGTCCTAAGAATAAAAGCTGCCACGACACATCTGTATAATGTTACCTTATAAAAATAAAGGCATTTATTGAACCTTCATATTGGCAAAATTACACCCATATTCTCTTTTCAACATTGACCACTCCTGTGGCATTGACGTCCTCGGCTCCTGGGTGGAAGATTCTCATTCGCCTTCTCTCTCTCTCTCTCTCTCTCTCACACACACACACACACACAGAGAGAGAGAGAGAGAGAGAGAGAGAGAGAGAGAGAGAGAGAGAGAGAGAGAGAGAGAGAGAGAGAGAGAGAGAGAGAGAGATTGCCAAAAAACCTCTCAGGTTAACTGCAAGATGCTCAGGTTAATCGTGACAGATTCCCTTTCCAAAACCCATGTGCACGCTCATGGCTCAGTTGTTCTGGGTTTATCCCACCCTTGGACTTTTCAGCATGAGAGCAGTTTGAAGAGATGGGGAGCATGCTTCAGAGAAGGCAGGTCTGTGGAAATCTGTGTTTTGCATTTGCCATTCAGTCTTTTTGGCAGGAAGCAAATGCGCTTCCCCCAATGTGAATCGAGGAGTCTTTGAGGTGTTCCGTCGTGACCCTCATGAAGGATGATGTCTGAGGCGTCCTCTCTTCTCTGGTGTCAAATTATCCGTGCTTGAACAGGTACGCCTTCCTCCGTTCCCTCTTCCCACCTACGGCCATGTGCAGCATCTTCCTCACCCTTGAATCCGTGCAAGATTTGGGCTTTTGATTCCACCCCCCCTTGTCGAAACCTGAAAGCCTGACAGCTTGCAAAGACCTAATGAGAAGCTGTTCAACAGGGAAGCAGCCAAACAACCCTTGTGTGGTCTCCGTGTGCTGTTTCCTGCCGGCAGCGCAAAGGTGACAAGTTTTAGAATGAAAATAGCGAAGGCGCTTTGGTGTCAAATTCTAGGGCTTGATTTTTCTTGTTCAGGGAGCAGATTTTCCTTTCCAAAAGGATTAATTAATGCCCCTGAGGCAGGTCTACAGTAACTTCTCGTTGGCATGTTTTCTCACCTGTAGCTTCTGCTGAAGTGCAAAGCAGGGCTGGTTCCCACCTCTCTCTTTCTCCTCCTCCTCCACCTCCTTGGAGGAGCTGCAGGTTCAACCCTCTGGCAAGGGTCGCTGAGGGCGCTGCGGATGAAACAGGCTTTTGATGACTTGGGGCTGGACTTCTGGCCGCCAGACTCCTGGCAAACTTTGGAACTGTGGGTCTTGCAGGAAAAAGTGTGGCAGGCTCTTTCGGAGGGGGGGGCTTACCCCGATTCCTTTCCATCTCCCCAGACTTGTCTTGATGGGTTGAAGAACTGGAGCTCAGTCTGTCCTGTTGACTGGCAGCACAGGCCAGCATCCACCAACTCCCCCCCCCACCGTTTTCCACTCTTTCTTTTCTTTTTTCTTTTCTATCTTCCTTCCTTCCTTTCTCCCTCCCTCCCTTTGGAGCTGAGGAAAACAGATATAAAGCAAGCTGAACCTTCTTTCTCACTGCTGGACCATGAAGAGTTAGATGCCTAGGTGCACAGACAGAGCCCGAAAACACTAAGAAGATTTGCCCTGATAAAATCAAGAGAACTCAACAAATCAGCTAGTTTTTATATCTGTTGGTAACACCTGATCGACTCTCTGCCCTCTCCTTACAAGCCTGAATTCTGGGCAGATGCCTAAATGGAATAATCTCTTTCATTTTCCCCACCCAACCAGGAGTCCCGGTTGTCCATACGGTACTCCTCTTAAAAACACACATGCAACACATAAAGCAAAAAAAGAATTACTATCTTCAGTGGACACGCCTTATGTCCTTATGTACGCTCAGTGCGTACAACTGGAGAATTTCTCGAAATTCTCTGGCTATTCACTGGAAGTCTGAAACTCTGTGTATGTGTGTGTTGTCAACCCAGGAAATGGAACTTTAGAATTAATCTTGACACATCAGTCAGTCGTCTCCCACTTATACTAAACGAAGCTCATGTTTCCATGAGCCTTCTTGGTGCTCGCACTTAGGTTTTGGAAGGTCCTTATCAAAAGAAGCCTATCTAGGGCAGGCCTCTAACTGACTTTCTGCTAGCTGGCTGAAAAAAATGCTTTGGGCCTATAAACTGAATTGTTGTTAGTTACACAGGCCTTCACAGACCTCATCATATCATTCAAGTCACAAATTAGTAATTTCCGAAAGAAGAGATATATTAGCAGCTTGCACAAAAACTTGTCATAAATAAATCAGCTTGCAAATATTTTAACCAGTTTTAACGATTTTATTGACATTTTAACTACCTTGATATTTCAGTATCTTTCTGCGTTTTACTGTAATTTGTTTGCACTCGCATTGTGTCTGATAGCTACCCAGAGCAGCATTTGGCAGAGGAGTGGGATCACCATTTAACATATTAAAACTGAAAACAAAGTAAATATTTCTGTCTCAGCTAACAGCAACTAA